GTAGGCTCCTCTACAAGGCTTGATTCTAGTGAGTGTAAGGTTGGAAAAGAAAATGTTTGTATACCGTCCTGTATTTTTATGTATAGTGCCATGATTTCTGGGGCTATTAACATTGGCTACAACTGTCGCAATTGTTCATATTCAGCAAAATTATGTTTTTGTATTGAGTTGCTATGAATGTCAGTAAGAAGCTGTATTCAACACTGGTGAAATGACCGCTGGACCATATATACATGTGCGTTGTTTCTTTCACTCAGAGGGGTGGTCAGGTAGTCTGGTGGTTAAAGCGTTCGCTTGTCACGCCGAAGACCAGAGTAGCCTTTAGAAACCCCCACTGTCCCTAGTGGACACACCCACATCTGAGTAGCCATGAGAAATCCCAACCGTCCCTAGCGGACAGGCCCACAACAGAGTAGGCATGAGTAACCCCTACCGTCCCTAGCGGACACGCCCACCACTGAGTAGCCATGAGAAATCCAAACCGTCCCTAGCGGAAACACCCACAAGGGTAGGCTTAAGAAACCCCAACCGTCCCTAGTGGACACACCTACCACTGAGAAGCCATGAGAAACCCCTACCGTCCCTAGCGGACACACCACCGTGGAGTAGCCATGAGAAACCCTACCGTACCGTTGTTCTGAAATTAGTCTTGGCATTTCAAATGTGTTTGACATTTGCTTCTGTGCAGTTTTTATTCCCCCGTGGCACGTGCCTTTCTATCAGCAAGAACATCACGTGATTTTACAATTTTCGCATTTTCTCAAAAACACGTGCGCATTGCCGGTTAAATACAGGTGCCTTTAGGCTATGTGTTTGTGCCTATTGGGGTTTAAAGCAGTACAACTAGTTTAGAATCACATTATTCTCAAAAGTGCGAAGTTTATTTTGCAGTTCAGTTCGGTTCTGATTGAAACATATTTTTGAGACAATGGCGCAGCTACCATAAAGGCAAAGAGAAAACAGACCGCAAATATATTTCCAAGGTCGTTGCTTAAAACACAAAAAATCACTTGTCAGTGCTTGCGGCTATCTATTTGTCCGTCAGCTACAGTAATTGCTCTTTAGGAACTCTCATCCGAGTGATGTCACCACTGGTCATTACTTAACAAATAAACCACGACTGCGAGTTGTTTATTGGACAATAAAACACTGCAAGGAGAATAAAGCAAAAGGGGCGCAGACCCGAGATATTTATTTTCCCTGTACGATAAACAACGACCACCTGTCGTTTATGTCGTATATTGGATATCAACATTATGAACAGCCTATGAAACTGTTTCGTTGAATAATCACGACGGGTTATTCTCTGGCATCTTACTTCCTTGTAGCTGACATTACATTATTCGCGTTATATTGTAAAAGTTCATTGTTCATTTGCACAGGTAATGGAAGGAGTTTCGAATTCCTTGCACTGTGCCAAAAACGCAGTATCAACACATTCTTCGTTTAAAATAACACTATGATTACAACTGCACCTTTAAAATTATTACAAGTCATATGAAGTACAGTGGCGGGTGTGTCCGCTAGGGACGGTAGGGGTTACTCATAGCAACTCAGATGTGGGCGTCACCGTAAGAGACGGTAGGGGTAAGTCATAGTAACTCAGTGGTGGGCGTCTCCGTAAGAGACGGTAGGGGTAAGTCATAGCAACTCAGTGGTGGGCGTCTCCGTAAGGGACGGTAGGGGTAAGTCATAGCAACTCAGTGGTGGGCGTCTCCGTAAGGGACGGTAGGGTTTCTCATGGTTACTCAGTGTTTGGCCTTTCCGCTGGGGACAGTAGGGGTTTCTCATGGACTACCCATTGGTCTGCATGTCCGCCAGGGACGGTACAGGTTCCCAAAGGCTACACAGTGGTGGGTGTTTCCGCTAGGGACGGTAGGGGCTTCACGTGGCTACTAAATGGTGGGTGTGTCCGCTGGGGACGGAAGGGGTTTCTCATGGCTACTCAGTTGTGGGCGTATCCGCTAGGGACGTTAGGATTTCTCATGGTTACTCAGTAGTGGGTCTGTCCGCTTGGGACAGTAGGAGTTTCTCATGGCTTCTCAGTGGTGAGCGTTGACGCTATGGACGGTAGGGGTTCCAAAGGTTTCACAGTCGTTGGTGTGTCCGCTACAGATGGAAGGGTTTTTTTCATGGCTACTCAGAGGAGGATGTGTCTGCTAGGGACAGTAGGGGTTTCTCATGGCTACTTAGAGGCGGGCGTGTCTACTATGGATGGTATCGGGTTTCCCATGGCTATTCAGTGGTGGGCATCTCCGCTAGGGACGGTAATGGTTAGTCATGGCTGCTCAGTTGTGGGCGTATCCGCTCGGGACGGTAGGGTTTCTCATGGCGACTCACTGTTGGCGTGTCCGCTAGGAACTGTAGGGTTTCTCATGGTTTCTCAGTTTTGGGTGTGTCCGCTTGGGACAGTAGAGGTTTATCATGGCTACTCAGTGGTGGGTGTTTCTGCTAGGGATGGTAGGCGCTTCTTGTGGCTACTCAGTGGTGGGCGTGTCCGCTGTGGACGGTAGGGGTTTCTCATGGCTTCTCAGTGGTGAGCGTTGCCGCTAGGGACGGTAGGGGTTCCAAAGGTTTCACAGTCGTGGGTGTGTCCGCTACGGATGGAAGGGGTTTCTCAGGGCTACTCAGAGGAGGATGTGTCCGCTAGGGCAGTAGGGGTTTCTCATGGCTACTCAGTTGTGGCCCGGGCGTGTCCGCTAGGGACAGTAGGGGTTTCTCATGGCTACTTAGAGGCGGGCGTGTCCGCTATGGGTGGTACTGGTGGGCGTTGCCGCTAGGAACGGTAGGGTTTCTCATGGTTTCTCATTTGTGGGCGTATCCGCTCCGGGCGGTAGGGTTTCTCATGGCTACTCACTGGTGGGCGTGTCCGCTAGGAACGGTAGGGTTTCTCATGGTTTCTCAGTGGTGGGTGTGTCCGCTGGGGACGGTAAGGGTTTCTCATGGCTACTCAGTGGTGGGTGTGTCCGCTTGGAACGGTAGGGGTTTCTCATGGTTTCTCAGTTGTGGGCGTATCCGCTCGGGACGGTAGGGTTTCTCATGGCCACTCACTGGTGGGCGTGTCCGCTAGGAACGGTAGGGTTTCTCATGGTTTCTCAGTGGTGGGTGTGTCCGCTTGGGACGTTAGGGGTTTCTCATGGCTACTCAGTGGTAGGTGTGTCCGCTTGGGACGGTAGGGGTTTCTCATGGTTTTGTCAGTTGTGGGCGTATCCGCTGTGGACGGTAGGGCTTCTAATAGCTACTCACTGGTGGGCGTGTCCGCTAGGAACGGTAGGGTTTCTCATGGTTTCTCAGTGGTGGGTGTGTCCGCTAGGGACGGTAGGGGTTCCAAAGGTTACACAGTGGTGGGTGTGTCCGCTATGGATGGAAGGGAATTCTCATGGGTACTCAGTGGTAGGTGGTTCCACTATGAACAATAATTGTTACTCATAGCAATTCAGTGGTGGATGTGTCCGTTAGGGATGGTAAGGGTTTCTCCTGGCTACTCAGTGGTGGGCGTGTCCTCTAGGGACGGTAGGGTTTCTCATAGCAGCTCAGTTGTGGGCGTCTCCATAAGGGACGGTAGGGTTTCTCATACCAACTCAGTTGTGGGCGTCTCCGTAATGGACGTTTGTGTTTCTCATGGATACTCAATTGTGGGTGTGTCCGCTAGGGACGGTAGGGTTTCTCATGGTAGCTCAGTGGTAGGCGTGTCCGCTATGGACGGTAGGGGTTTCTCATGGCTTCTCAGTGGTGAGCGTTGCCGCTAGGGACGAAAGGGGTTCCAATAGTTACACAGAGGTGGGTGTGTCCGCTACGGATGGAAGGGGTTTCTCATGGCTACTCAGCGGTGGGCGTGTCCGCTAGGGACGGTAGGGGATTCACATGCCTCCTCAGTTGTGGGCGTATCCGCTCGGGACGGTAGGGTTTCTCATGGCGACTCACTGTTGGCGTGTCCGCTAGGAACTGTAGGGTTTCTCATGGTTTCTCAGTTTTGGGTGTGTCCGCTTGGGACAGTAGAGGTTTATCATGGCTACTCAGTGGTGGGTGTTTCTGCTAGGGATGGTAGGCGCTTCTTGTGGCTACTCAGTGGTGGGCGTGTCCGCTGTGGACGGTAGGGGTTTCTCATGGCTTCTCAGTGGTGAGCGTTGCCGCTAGGGACGGTAGGGGTTCCAAAGGTTTCACAGTCGTGGGTGTGTCCGCTACGGATGGAAGGGGTTTCTCAGGGCTACTCAGAGGAGGATGTGTCCGCTAGGGCAGTAGGGGTTTCTCATGGCTACTCAGTTGTGGCCCGGGCGTGTCCGCTAGGGACAGTAGGGGTTTCTCATGGCTACTTAGAGGCGGGCGTGTCCGCTATGGGTGGTATCGGGTTTCCAATGGCTGCTCAGTTGTGGGCGTATCCGCTCGGGACGGTAGGGTTTCTTATGGTTTCTCAGTGGTGGGTGTGTCCGCTGGGGACGGTAAGGGCTTCTCATGGCTACTCAGTGGTGGGTGTGTCCGCTTGGAACGGTAGGGGTTTCTCATGGTTTCTCAGTTGTGGGCGTATCCGCTCGGGACGGTAGGGTTTCTCATGGCCACTCACTGGTGGGCGTGTCCGCTAGGAACGGTAGGGTTTCTCATGGTTTCTCACTGGTGGGTGTGTCCGCTTTGGACGTTAGGGGTTTCTCATGGCTACTCAGTGGTAGGTGTGTCCGCTTGGGACGGTAGGGGTTTCTCATGGTTTTGTCAGTTGTGGGCGTATCCGCTGTGGACGGTAGGGCTTCTAATAGCTACTCACTGGTGGGCGTGTCCGCTAGGAACGGTAGGGTTTCTCATGGTTTCTCAGTGGTGGGTTTGTCCGCTAGGGACGGTAGGGGTTCCAAAGGTTACACAGTGGTGGGTGTGTCCGCTACGGATGGAAGGGGTTTCTCATGGGTACTCAGAGGAGGATGTGTCCGCTAGGGCAGTAGGGGTTTCTCATGGCTACTCAGTTGTGGCCCGGGCGTGTCCGCTAGGGACAGTAGGGGTTTCTCATGGCTACT